GAAAATGTTATCATGTCAGAAAAAAAATGCTTTCCTAAAGAAAAGAGAATGGGGGCACGGTGAAAAAACAAAGAGTCAACCTGAAGACCATACCTGGAACGATCTGACAACAAAATAATGACAGCATTAAATTATAAACCACAGAATAAAACAAGTATCTATGACTCAATACTAATATAAACAAATTACTAAATAAACAAGAAGGGGCAGGTCTTCTCTACAGAAAAATTCCAATTAATAAATGTAGAAGGAAATGAGAAAAACAAAATCACTATCAGGTGAACACCATTATAATAACTGTTACAGGCAAGATCTACCAAAGAATACTGAAAACAAATGGGCAAAGGTTTGAGGAGAAAAGGGATAAACGCACAGTTTCAAAGAATCTCCCCAAGATACCCTGTAATTACAAAGACAAAAATGGTGACTTTACAAGTAGAGAAATTTGACAGACATGACATCCACCATATGAGAATTAACATCACCTCAAATGGGATATACTGACATTCTGTACTCAACATCAATAATGTTGAATGTAGGACTCAACATTACACTGCACATTACTTCTGTAGTATTTTTGTCAAAAAATGCAAAACTTCAATAAATCAAGAAAACATCAGACAAAACCAAACTGAGAGAAATTCTACAAAATAAATGACCACACACTCATCACTAGTGTGAAGGTCATGGAAGAAAAAAAGACTCTTATAGATAAGACTAAGGAGACACAATAACTAAATGCAATGTAAGATTCTGGACTGAATCCTGAAACAGAAAAACTAGTAAAATTCAAATAAGGTCTGTAGTTTAGTTAATAGTATTGTACCAATGTTAATTTCCAGTTTTAATCACTGTGCTCTGGTTGCATAAGTTATTAACATTAGGGAAAGCTGGGTGAAAAGTACCTAGGTGAAGGTACAGATTTCAAAATTTAAAAAAAAAATTGTTGAAGTATCCTATACATTTTCTCCCTCAAGTGAGTTAAAACAAAGTTGAGAAACTCAATAAGTATTTACATAGAGTAAGTAAATCCAACATTTCAATATCTGAAAAGCAACCTATGTTGAAACAAGACTTTAGTCATTAAGAGATACTTATGTATTTATAGGTACTAGAGATGCTGTCTTCAAGAAACTTATAGCTGGTAAGAGAAACAAAAACAATAAATTGTCAACTTTGTTGATAAAAAAATTCTGGCACACAATCAGGCTACAATCCAATGATTAAATAACAAGAGTAACATCATTTATGATGTTAAAGTATATAAATGAAAATCTTTTAACTAAAATCTTCAAATAAAACATTAACACCTATACATTTACAGAATTTAAGTTAGCCTAACACACTCACTACACATTTCAAATGGTAGTCTTATACGTAATTAGTGTCTAATGCTTCAAAAAGTACTATTAAATATTTTCCATTAAAGATTCTATTTCTTCAACCTAAAAAGCTAGTAGCTTACTTTAATCTCCAGCAAAAAAAGAATACAAGAGAAGTAAAGATAACAAAAATGACCTCAAAAATCAAACTGAACAAAACAATTCTTAAATAAAGTACAATCTCGGGGAGCCTGGGTGACTCAGTCAGTTAAGCACCTGCCTTTGACTCAGGTCATAATCCCAGGGTCCTGAGATCAAGCCCTGCATGAGCAGGTCCCTGCTCAGAGGGGAGCCTGCTTCTCCCTCCCTCTTTGTGCTCTCTCTCTCTCAAGTAAATAAAGAAAATCTTAAAAAAAAAAAAAAAAAAAAAAAAAGAACAATCTAAGAAAAAAACAGATATATTTATATACCAAGTGACTGGCTAATAAAGACAGCTAACTGAAAATCAAAATGTCAACCAACATATAAAGCATTATAATTATATTCATTAAAAAATAATCCCTCTCTCCTCCTCTGGGTTAGGTCAATCAACAGGGTTCAACTGCACCCCAAAAGTTATAGCAGACGCTAATGATCTTAATCCTATTCAGTCTCAAAACTTCTAAGGATCAAAAGACCTACACTGTTCTAGTCTCTCCAATAAGCCTTCCCAAACACAAAGTGGTAACAGAGGATGACTCTAAATATTCTTAAAGATAATAATACAAGGATTATGCTAACATCTGCAATATAATAGAAACATTACTGTTAAGATTCAAACCCAGGCAAAGAGCCAGATCACTCTGAACAGATACATTGATTAACTGATTACTGAGCAAGGATTCAGTCATACATCTCAAATACCAATAACTTGTTATAAATCTCTAACATTCTAAATTTCTGCCTGTTTTTCCTAGACATAAGAACAACCAGTTAAAAGTATTTATAATATTAATATTCCAGGGCTGATCCTGTCATCAATTTTCTTGAAATTTAATTGACAGTAGATACATGAAAACACTGCCTTCAATTATAATCAGACATTTTCCGGTGTATAAAGAGAACAGGCAGATAAGAAAGGTGGAACACAAAAGAAACAGTGCAAACTTCTGTAAAAAGTCTCATAAAAAGTAACAGCTCTTTAAACAACACCACATCTGTAGGTCCAAAACTCAGCAGGGACCAACTTAGAAAATGCTGCAGTATTCCAGGGCTTTCTCCACTTCTCTCTACATTCTTTCCTTAGTTGGTCTCAACCTGTTTCATAACTAAACACCATTTCATACTCTAAAAAATACAAGGGGTCAAGGCAGATGAAGTATGCTGCCATTTTGACAAAGTGGGGAGAATATAAACATATTTGCTTTATATGTGCATAAAATATATCTTTGGAAAGGTATGTAAGAAAACATGAACCCTTTTTAGCACCACAAAAACTGGGTGTTACGGGATACAAGAAATAGGGGAGATTTTCACTCTGTACCTCACCAAACATTTTAAGTCTTGAATCATGTGAATGTAGTTTTTATTCAAAACATAAATAAACCAACAGATAAGTGCTGATGATGCCCGATCTCTTTTTTCTTTCCTCATCAGAATTTAAGTCCCATGAAGACAGAGATTTTGTCTGCGTCTTCACTACTATATTCCCACTGCCAGGTCTACTGCTGGTGCTTGAAAAACATTTGTTGAATGAATGACTTCTTAATCTCTTCAGTAAACTCCAGATGGTATATCCAACTGCCTACTTCTTACCTCCACTTGAACATCTAACATGTCCTACTTAACACGTACCTAACCTTTCCCCCATATAACATGCTTCCCTCACCGCTTTCTCATCTCCCATTCACAGCATCACCACCCTCCAGCTGAAGTCCAAACACGAGGAATCACCCCTGTCCCAACCAACTGCACTTTCATGCAAGCCTCAAGTTCAATCAATGCCATTAGCTCCAAAATGTACCTTAAAAATCTTTAACCTGATCTAACACACTAGTCACTAATCTACCATAGCCTTCTAACTGGTCTCTCTGCTTCTTTTCTCCTCTTACCCAATCTTCCCTGCAGTCAGACTGTCAATCAGACCAGAGCAATTTCAGTTTCACAAAAATTCCAATAGCTTTTCCATGTGCTTTAAGAATAAAATCCAAACTCCTTTGGACAATAAGGCCTCACCAGATCTGGCCCTTGGCTATGACCTAACTTCTTATCCCCCACTAGGGTCCACATGCACTGAGCTTCTTCAGTTTACTGACCCCAAGCTTGACACACCTCTGAGAACTTCCCTGTGCTGTTCTCTCAGAAAGGGAATGCTCTCCCCTCAGACTTCCAAAGGCTAAACCCTTCTGACTTGTCAGGTATCAGGTCAAAGCTCACCTCAGACAGGTCTTTCCCAACCACAGCATCTGAAGTAGTCTTCTCTCAGTCACTACCACAACTTCCCATTTTATTTCCTTCATTGCACTTAATGATTCTCTGAAATTATTTTTATTCCTTATGTCTTATCAGTCTCTCCTCCCCCACCAGAATTGAAGCTCTAGAAGGACAGAAACTTCACAAGTCTTGCTTATTGTTGTATCCCTAATGCCCACAATAATACTTGATATATGAACCAGGTACTTAAATATTTAACTGATAAAGAAGGCAAACTGACTTTAAAGAAGGTCCACAATATTTAATTTAATAACAAACTGGTGAGGATAAAAGACATAGATAAACCATCTTAACTTCCATAAAATACCGAAAATCAACCGAGGCTGGAGAGTGAAGTAAGATTATTTCAGATGCTTCTGAACATTCAAATACATAGCAAAGGAATTTTTCACACACTATGTGCATGCACACTGTAGCACTGCTACAGGGAAACTAAATTACAGATACACAGCATCTGAAAAGAAAAAAAGGGTAATTCAAAACACTGTGTACATCTGTAATTTCACCTCTGAGTCTTTCGGAAGGGTCTTTCAAACACTGTATTTGAGTAAGAGAGGCAAAGTATAATCAATCTGTCTGCCTTGGAAAGAAATCTGAGATTCTAAAGGATAGGGTATAGCCTTTTGAGTGTTTTAAATACCTATTAGGTAGTCAGTAGTCAATGAGAACAAACTGATTATTTCCCATATTTTACTCTGAATGTACATTTGGGACAGATGTAGTTCAAAGAATTTTATACTGTCAAGTCAAAGCTCCTACAGTGAATGTTAATATCTTCAAATCTTATCTATTCTAGTTACCTAATCATGTTCAAAAGGTAAACTTATACGGTACCACCCATCAACTGGTAATAGTAATCCCTGAGGGAAAGGAGATGATTTGACAATAACAGTGTGCAATTTACGGATGTTTTATTTACATGCACATATCGGTGGGGTTGTAGGGAATGGTCCAGGCTCCCTAGTGTGTAAGTGCTCTGAGAAGTCTAAGGATCTTATTTCACCAGACCCTAACTGTAGAGACAGGTCTGGAGTGCACGTAGGTTACTCCTCCCCATAGCTATCAATCTTCGCTGTCTGCGGAAACAAAAGTGAAAATACTCGTGGAAAGGATGTAAGAGACTGATGCCCCCACACACACCCCCAAACACAGAGTTGTGTATGCGTGTGAGCTCGTAAACAAGGAGAAGAGTACACGCACTCTCACCTTCCCTCCTTCGGAAGAAAATGGGGCCGAGGGAGGGGCGGCCAAGGCCGGGTAGGGGAGGCCCGGGATCCAGTCCAGGGGGTGCCGGGCTTAGGGGTCAGCGCTCCGGGGAGCCGGGGTCACTTACGGGACACCATCTTTCCCCACCGCCCCGCTTCCATCCCTTTCCCCTCCCCCCTCTTCGCCCCCAACTCCTTTCCTCCGCCCCATCCCCGCCACCCATTAACCGGGAAGGGAAGTTTCCCGGAGCCTGCAGCCCGGCTCCCCGACCCTCAGCGGGGTTACCTTCTGCAGAAGCGGGACAAGGGACAGGGGATAAGGGGAGGGGGAGGCAGCCCGAAGGAGTGAAGGACGAAGCCCCCGGCGAGGAAGGTGGGCGGCGGCGGCGGCGGCGGCTGTCAGCTCGCGTTCCCCTGCTCACAGCGCTGCCATTACTGTGCGCCGAGGCCGCCTCCCCGGCCGGCCGCCGCCACCGGTCCAGGAGACACGGGGGGTGGGGAGCGAAGCCTGGGGAGCCCGCGCGCCGGACGCTCACCTGCCACAGCGAGAACACAGCAAAGCTCAAGGCCGCCGCCGCTGCCGGACGGGACAGGGGCGGCGGGGAGAGGGGAAAGGGGAGTAGGACGGGCTGGTTACGGGATCCGTAAAACAACCGGCCTCTGGACCCGGCTTTCACCCCCCCCCCAACACACACCCTTCGGGCTCCTTCTTCCGCTACCTCCAAATCCCCCCTCAGAAAGCAATGGTAGAGTCCGCGTTACGGCAAGCGCAGGGAGCCGGACTTAGTGCAATTGCGAAGGGCCGCGGAAATCAGTATTCAAAGTGACTTCTTGCGGTATTCCCGGTTAAGGAGACAATCACGGTTCGCTGAGCCCAAGAGACTCAATACCTACCAAGTTTTGGCACTACTAGTAACAATATATCAGAAAGGTGTTTTCAACAAAAGTGCGTTCCCTTTGAGTTGTTTGAAATCCATGTGAATATTCTAAGACCTACAATCTCCTTGCCAACACTACCATGGGCTTTTCAAATTGTCAAAAATATGTTAGCAAAACTATGTTCCCCTCTGACACACATCTTTTCTAGTGGGTTTCTGTCTATAGATAAATACTGAGACATAAATATATTTTAAATAAAGGAACTTCTCTTCACAGTCTTCACCACTGAGTCCCCACCTCCCCAAAGCCCTTACCACATCAGTCTAAAAGGTGTTAATTCCTTAATTTTAACACGTAATGTTCAAAAAAGTGTAGGTTCACCTATCTCCTCCTCATATACACAGAGCCACAGAGAACAAAAGCCTGGATTTATTCCTTATTTGCTTTCACATCCACAAGATCTTAGAGTCTTGTTATTCAAACTTTCTCCCTTCCAACCCTCTTTTTCAAAACTATTTGTACCAACCCCTTAAGGTCCATTAAAAATCCTGTTTGCTTGCTTGTCCATGACTGCATCTCTCTGATATTCTCAAATAAACCTATCTTTTGCTGGTAAAATAACTGGCGGTTTGAGTTGTAAGATTAACAATCGTTTAAAGACTTTAGTGCTATTAATAAATAGGACTTTTTGATAATGTATGAGATGTCACCATATGAAAGGTCTACATGACACAGTGAACCAATATTTTCCAAATAACCAATGCAGGCCATTAAAAGTCATGCATGGATAAAGGATCCATTCAAAGTGCCAGGTAAACCAATGGATAGATCAATATATGCATGTGTGTATACGCGTGTTGCACACACATAGAAACAAAGTACAAAAAATTCCCTTATATGATTTCAGATTCTTCATTGCAAATAACCTTTAAGAAATTACCACTTAACAAATGCTCTGTAACATCAGAGAAGAATATCCACATTTAACGGGAAAGACTATTAAAGGCCTCCTACTTTTTTCATATTCTTGAATCATAGGGAAGTTTTTATCAAGTCAGATATTAAAGACATATGCAAAAAATGTAAAGCCATGTCAAGATAAGTAGAATATCTTTAAATAGTTCTTTTTCTGGTTTTTTTTAAAAGATTTAATTTATTTATTTGACAGAGAGATACACAGCAAGAGAGGGAGCACAAGCAGGGGAAGTGGGAGAGGGAGAAGGCTTCCCATGGAGCAGGGAGCCCCATGTGGGGCTCGATCCCAGGATCCTGGGATCATGACCTGAGCTGAAGGCAAATGCTTAATGACTGAGCCACCCAGTGCCCCAAAATGGTTATTTTTCATATAAACATGTGATGTATGTTAAACTGCTTGTATTTACTACTTTTTAAGTTAATAATTGGGGTTTTAAAATTTCTTCTTACTTCTAACATGGTAACTAGTGCTAGATATAAACCACATAAATATAAGCTCTTTGAGTCCCTCAATAATTTGGAAGAGTGTTAAGAGGTCCAGAGACCAAAAAGGTTGAGAACAGATGCCTTAAGTCTTGAACTTCCCTGTCCTGCCACTTTCCTTTTAAACTCTAGCTGGAGATATGAATTATCATGAAGGGTGCCAAACATGAATCACTATAACACCCCCCCTTTTTTTTTAAGATTTTATTTACTTATTTGACACAGAGAAAGAGAGAGAGAGAGCAGAAGCAGAGGGAGCTGCAGAAGGAGAGGGAGAACAGGCTCTCCTGCAGGGCTTGACCCTAGTACTCTTGATCATGACCTGAGCTGAAGGCAGACGCTTAGCCAAATGAGTCACTCAGGCACCCCTAACACCCCCAATTTCTAAATTCCAGAGACCTCTCAACCCTTTAGAGTTATCCAACCTATATAATAGGGAAATACATTTTGAAAAAACTTATAGTATCTAAGCCTTTTAATACTAAATTGAGATTAGCTTTTCTTTCCAGAAAAAAAGATATTGTTTCTGGCCAACCAATGGTCTTTACCCTCAAACCTAACTCAAACCCTCGTTCATCTGTGAATCCTTTCTCTGTTTTAATTTTTAACAGAAATTACATATATCACTAAAAATGTGTTTTGGCTTTGTAAAATGTTTGTTGATTTCATTTTTTTTTCTTGATTTCTTAAAATTTTTAGAAAATGTTTAAAAAGAGAGAGAGAGAAAGGAAAAAGCCCTACCAATACTGTAGAAATAGATTACCATATTTAAGTTGACAAATACTCTTCAAAATGTTTTCCATGAATATAATTAAAAATGTTTATGCAAATAAGATCATATTATAGATGTGCTATTTTGTAGGCAGCTATTTCACTTAAAATCTTTCTGATTTTGGTCTGAGAACATTAAATAATTCTTAGACAAAGTGATTTATAAATTAGTATTTAAAGAGGAAAATCAATGAAAAATATTTTAGGTAGAATATATTAAAATGTCATTGCATAAATCAGTTTAAAAAAAAAGTATGTCTATTTCAATTCCCAATTGTGAGTGCACATAATTTTCTCTTTCAAAATTTCCCAAGTTCTGGACATCTGGATGGCTCAGTCGGTTAAGCTGCTGCCTTAGGCTCAGGTCATGATCCCAAGGTCCTGGGATCAAGCCCCACATTGGGCTCTCCGCTTGGTGAAGAGAATGACTCTCCCTCTCCCTCTGCCTACTGCTCTGCCTGCTTGTGCTCTCCCTCTCTCGCTAATAAATAAATAAAATCTTTAAAAAATTTTTTTTCCAAGTTCATCTCCTAATCCCTCTGCACCTAGTATTTGAGGAGCCCAACCAGAATCATCTTCTATCTCTATAAGCTTCCTTTATAACATAAAACCCGAAGAGGCCTTATTATTCCTGGACATTTATTATTTCAAACAATTTGTCTCATTTTTACATTCTATATACTCAATCTGAATCATCCCTCCTTAAATCTTTACTGGGAATATGCATTTCCTGGTTATATAATTTATTAAATATTTTTACACCTTTTGTTTTCAGCAAATAAGAAAAAATGAGAATTTGGAGAACAGTTTTCATGTTTGGAGTAGCTGATTAAGGAGCTACTTTGTGCTTACAAAGTGCAAGGCTCTTCTTTGGAAAAATATCTGACAGGACGACTGGGGCAGAAAATACACAAGATGAGCCTGGAGCACCTTGTCACGTCAGAAAGGAAAGAAGTACTCAAAAATAAAACATCCACATTGACTGGAGTATGTCAAAGGCACAAGAGCCAAGTGAAAGAATTTCCAATGGCCAAAGCCTGAACAATTTGAGCAAGAAAGTAAAGTATTAGTGGATTATAACGCAAAGTATAAAATAAATATCCATGGATTCATACTAATATAAAAAATGATGGAATAAAGTAATACATGGGAGAGAAGAAATAATCTTACTTCATGCAGGAATTCCAAATAAATTTTGCAGATACTCCACCTAAAAGAAAGAGAGCATGACTCCCCACTTTTTGGCTGTGTACCATAAAAGTGACTTCCTTCCAAAAAATAAAGAATGACTTTACAGTAGAGAAACCTGACAAATGTCACATAGCCACATGATTAAAGTCAACATTAACAAGATAACTCATTGTGGGTAGTATGTTCCCTTGGAGTGATGTGATGAGAATGGCACTATACTTCTGTGATTTTCTTTCACAAAATGCACAATTCTAGTCTAATCATGAGAAAATTATCAGAAATTTCATTAGAAGGGCACTCTGCAAGATACCTGACCAGTACTCCTCAAAACTGTTAAGGTTATCAAAAAAAGTTAAGGCTGAGAAATTGTCAGCCGAGAGTTGACATGACCACTGAATGTAATGTGGGGATCCTCAAACAGAATACTACATTAGGGAAAATTTAAGGAAATCAGAATCATATGATTTTTAATTACAGTCTATCAGAATAGATCCATTAATTGTCACAAACATACCATACCAATGTAAGATGTTCACAGGGAACACTGAAGGGGGGTGTGTGGGGAAGAGTTATATAGGCATTCTCTATTATCTGCTCAGTTTCTCTGTAAATCTAAAACTATTCTTTAAAAAAAAGCCTATGGGGGCCTGGGTGGCTCAGTTGGTTGAGCCACTGTCTTTGGCTCCGGTTGTGATCCCAGAGTCCTGGGATCATATTGGGCTTCTCCTGCTTTGCGGGGAGCCTGGTTCTTCCTCTCCCTCTGCCTTTCCCCCTGCTTGTGCGCTCTCACTCTGTTAAATAAATAAAATCTTTTTTTTTTTTTTAAGCCTATCAATTGAAAAAAACTCATACAACTGTATAC